CGTGCCGTCAAGCCGCAGCTGCCTCACACCGGGTCTGGATCGACGGCGCCTGTCGGCGGTCGAGGCGCCAGGAGGGTAGTTTTCGAAATGGGGGGGTCCCTTTTAGGGTACTTTTTTTAAATAAGGGTGCCGTAGTATATTGTGTACCTAAAAAGGGAATCTAGTTTAGAGAACTAACCATGAACTGGATGAAAGGGCTTGGCTGTTGGGGCTTTTTTTTGTGCGTTTGGGCTTTAGCCTCAGGGCTCTACTTGACGAGTTCAGGGGTTTACGTCTAGATGTAGTGTTTAGGGCTTTAGGGTTCAGGGTTTTTGGGCTCGCGTCCTTTCGGTTCCGTGTTTAGGGTTTGGGGCATTCTATCGGAAGGATACCGTAGGGGCGTGAACAAATATACTGTAGGGCCTACTCTGGGAGACTGCTGCTTTTCGGGGTTCCACAGGCATCTAGTCGGGAAGCTTTCCTCAAGGAGGTACCTGCGGCCTCCCCTGATCAGAAGCGCTAAATTCCCTACCTGCAGCCCTCGGAATGAAGGCTTCAAGGACGGTTTATAGGGGTTCAGGGTCTAGGGTTCAGGTGCACAGTGAGTCCTAAGAACTGCATGTCTCTTACCCAACCATACTCGTAATACAGGGGCCTAAATAATTTGAATAGGGTTTGGGGGTATGTTATACTATAACTACAATAAGGAGCCCCGAAAACCCTATTCTAACGATTAGGGCCCCTACATTACCTGCGCGCGGAGCTCATTTTCACCCCCGAGGCCCTGTTTACATCACAGGCTCGGGCATGGTCTTCCTACGGCACCAGAAGGCCACGTAATGTAGGGGCCTTAACAAAGAGAACAAAGTTTTGGGGGTTCTTTATTCCGGTTATAGTATAATATACCCCCCCCCCCCCCAAATCCCCATGGTGCAGGTAGCAACCCTATGTTTGGATTTTTTGTAATTCAGAGGGAATGCAAGAACCTTGATAACCCTAAACCCTAAACAGTTTGGAAGCAATGTTTTCCAGCCTACAAGGATACCCTTGTCCCTCGTAAGACCCGAAGACAACATGCCTCAACCCAAAGCCTGCAATCCTAAACCTTGAGCTGTAAACCCTGAACCCTAAACCCTAAACCCTAAACCCTAAGCCCTAAACCCTAAACCCTAAACCCTAAGCCCTCAGCCCAAAACCCTAAGCCCCAAAATCTTTATAGAGCCCTTTTGCTAGAACCCTTACCCTAAACCCCAAAAGCCCCCTGTGCCGGGTCGGTTCCCCGTGAGCCCAGGCTCCTGAGAGTGCTTCCAGTCGCCGGTCTTCCGCGACCGGGTCTTGTAATTTGTTGTTTTTTTGGGTTTTGTTTTACGCGGATTTATGTATGCTGGTGTCTTCAAGGTTTTTGGTTTTGAGAAGAGGGGGGGGGGGCTGGTTGTGTTTTTATAGGGGCTCTTTTTTCAGATTCTCTGGGGTTCTATAAGTGTGTAGAGGGTTTACGGTCAGGGTTCGGAGTGTTATCTCAGGTTTAGGGGTCTAGTGTTGAGGTGTTTCGCTTAGTGGTTTCGGGGTTTGGAGGACTGGGTTTAAGAATTCTGGGTTGACGGGGATGGGGCATTTCGGCGTGGGCTTAGCAGCCACCATTTAGGGGATCCTTTTGCTAAACCCTAAACCTTGGGTCCTTACACAGGTGGACTGTTTTTTCCATTGGTGTTGGGATCCTCTGGGTTCACGGATTTTGGTTCGGCTTCGGATCATGCTCTTCAGTGAGCTTGGTGTAAGATTCCAGGGTTGAGGGCCCTAGGCTGTGGGTCGTTCATGCGGAACTCCTGGAAGAGGCGAAAAGAGGCTCTAGACCGGGCAAGGGAGCCTTGAAAAGCCGCCCTAAGCTTTGTCGTTGGGCGCTTGTGGGTTTCGATTAGGGTTTAGGGCTTAGGCCCGTTCCACGCGACCCTGATGACCCTCATGTAGAAGCCTGAAGAATCACGAACACCCTTCCGTAGGTCTTTTTTAATATGAAAGCTCTACGACAATTTAGCCTCGAAGCACTACTCTGGCGCTTATACTAAACCATCAACAAAATCCTCGCCGGAACCCTCAAGGAACCCTTGGAGGAAGCCCTACAGCCCCGAAAAGCCTTTGGAAATCCCACGGCCCGACCACCCGGCAACCCTACGGCCCCACCTTTCACAACAGCCGAACAGCTAAAGCCTTATAGCTCTAAAGGTTCAAAACTCCAAGGTTTAGGGTTTAGGGTTTAGGGTTTAGGGTTTAGGCCCATAATGTAGGGGCCTCTATACTTACTAATACTATTTTGGGGGTTCCTTATTATGATTACAGTATAATGGGCACCCAAACCTAGTTCTAACTATTCAGGCCCTTATATTAACCCTAAAGCCCAAAGCCCTGGATCCCTAAATCCTCAAACGCACAGTACTGAAGAGTGGGCAACAGTATTCCCATAGGCCCCAACACCCTGTTTTGGCCTGTTCTGAACCTTCAGGCCCCCATATTGGGTCCCTGGAACACCTAAACCCCTACTGTACACCCCTAAAGACCCAAACCCCTAAACCCTATAAACCCTTAAACTCCCTCTAAACCCCTAAACCCCTAAATCCCTAAACCCTATAAACCCTATAAACCCTTATACTCCCTGAACCCAAAACCTCCAAAACCAGATCCTAGAGCCCTGAAGCCTCAAAGCTCGTCGGTGCCACGCGAAAGCGTCTCTAGGGCACGACATGTCCAAGACCGATGGCTATCATGTGGGTAGTTTTCTAAATTATGGTCCCTTTGGGGTCCTTTCTATAAGGGTGCCGTACTATATTGGGGACCTAAAAAGGGACCCTGCTTTAGAGAACTACCCATGTTGTTTTCTAGGGTAGTCGGAGCTTTCTATGACCTTCCTCCTCTCGTTGTGCCGGGCGAGAGTGAGTATAAGTTAATAAGGCACGCGTTGTCAGAGTTCGTTGGACAAAATAACCTAGAATCAGAGCATTGTGCACAGGGAACACGGGGAAATTCCCGCCCGCACTGTTGTGGGTGTTCCGCCTTCTGTGTCGCTGGCACTGCAGAGGGTTCGGGGCGACCCGTGCGGGCCACTATCCTTTGGGCTACTCGGGCGCCGCGTCCTGGAAGGGTTTGCCACTCTAAACCCCAAAAGCCTAAACACTATAAACCCTAAACCCCCAGAGCTCTATAAAGCCTAAACCCTATATGCCCTAAGCCCTGAACCCTAAAGCTTTAAGCCCTGAACTCTGAACCCACCTAGAGCTCCGAGGCGGCTGTTGTTCTCCATCCCGTCGATACCAGCCTCCTTGCTCTCTGCCTGCAGTTATCCAATGGGAGAGCTTTATAACTTTTTTGGCCGTATATATCCGGTCTATTGCAGAAAGTTTGAACTTTTTGGGTCCAGTCACTGAAGAAGAGAGAGACGGTCTACGTAGATGTTCCAGTCTTTCAGGTTGCGTCTTTTCCTCGCGTCGCAGCATTTCCAATCCTGACGGCCCTAAGCCCTAAACCCTGACCCCAAGCCTTAAACCCTGATCCCTAAACCTTAAACCCAGGGGTTTAAAATCCCTAAACCCTAAACCAAGAGTTTAAACGCCCTACAGCCCTAAAGCCTAAACCCGAAACCCAAAACCCAGGAGTTTACAAGCCCTTCCCTTCTGTGCTCTTTGCGGGCAGAAGCACTGCGAAGACTCAGACATGGGGCAACTCGAGGCGTGTACCGGCGAGCTGAATACCCCTTAAATCAACGAAAACTAAACTAAAGGCTTTTCTTGCTTAAAATGGTTATACGGTGTCCCTTTACAGAGAACGTGGAAGCCATGTTATGTAGGGGCCTCCATACTTACCAATACTATTTTGGGGGCTCCTTATTATATGTATTGCATACAGGGCCCCAAAACTCTATTCTAATGATCAAGGCCCCTATATTCATCCACTATCACACATGGTCGAACTCTGTCTCCCATGTCCCACCACACCCCCATCAAACCCCCAAGCACACGAGAGCCGAGTTCTCGAATTCTTGGGGGCGATGTTTCGGGCTTAGGGTTTATAGGGTTTAGAGGTTTAGGGGTTTACGGGTTTAGGGGTTTACGGTTTAAGGGTTTAGGATTTAGGGGTTGAGGGGTTTAGGGTTTAGGGCTTAGAGTGTTGAAGCTTCAAGGAAGCCCTCACACCCGTTTGCAGCCCTGAGGCCTTGAAGCGGGCCTTCGAGCCCCGGTCCCTATAAACCTTAGTGGGTTTAGGGTTTTAGGGGTTTAGGGGTTTAGGTGAGCGAAATTCACAGCAGCCCTCACAGCCGACGCGACCCTGAGGTTCGTGTGGCCGTGCCGGTGACTGGTTGGGACAGCCTATTGAAGTTCCGGGCTCCTGGGACGAACTTGACGTCCCTAAACCCCAAACCCTAAAC